TGCTTTCATCCCATGGCTGCTCCTCCAGCAACAGAAAGGGTTGGCTCTCTGGTACCTCAGCTGAGAAGGGGACCACAAAAGGCTGGAAGACAGCCTGATCTGGGAAGTGTTTTGGAAGCTGCTTAGAACAGAAAACTTCATACTTGGAAAAGAAAAGGGAAGGAAGCCTGTGATGCTGGCACCCCTAGTCAGAGTCTGCAGCCCCCACAGGATCTCCGTGCTGAGAGATCCACACGGCTGCCTTCTGTCTCTGGTGCATCCCCAGTCCATTCCACCCTGGGCCAGCTCCTTCCAGTCAGCGAGCCAGCACCTATTTGTGGAACACTCTCCCCACCCCAAACAGGCATTTTCCAAGTGGCTATTCTGTGAGGCCTGGGAGCTAAGGGGAAGGTTCGAAGGGCTCTTCTAGGCACTCTCGAACTGAGCCATCCCCACCCAGCTCCAGGATGGCATTTCCTCCCTCCAATGGACATGCCTTCAGATGCCAGCCTCATTTCTTGCCTCCACTAGAAATGCCACTTCAAAGAAAGGGGTTGTCATCCCTGTTTCTTAGGATGTGTGACTCGCCATGTCCTGGGCCATCAGCTCCTCTGGCTTTAGGGCCCTGAAAACTCTTCCTTCTTGGTGTAAGGGAGGCAGAAGGCAGAAGACAAGACTGGGCAGTGTCTAGTGGAGAAAATGCTGAGAGCAGTTGAGAGAGCTGCATGGCCTGGGCTGAAAGCCATTCTGAGGAACCCGAGGTCTTGAGTGTGACTGTGAGGGGGCAAGGTAGCTGTGAGAACCCAGAGCACACGTGACTCATCTCCCTGGGCCCACTGCGGAGGATCTGGCTCTTAGGGGCTCTTGTCTGGATCTGAAGAGCCTAGAGAGAGCCAGTGTCCCCTGCAGCTTAGTCAGCTATGGACAAGCCTGTACATTTATTTAACTTTTAGTAAAGTCAAAGAAAAATGTATGAAAGCTTCCTGCTTATCCTTCAGCAGCCGGAGGGAAGGCAGAGGGAAGCTGGGCGCAGGCCAGGGGCTTGGGGCCTAGACAGCCTTGAGACACATGGTCACACATCTGTTTCTCTTGTGTAGATTCACTGCAAGGAACCTAACACACGTGGTGCCGTTTCCCTGAGTCTTGAAGCTGGGGTGAGGCAGCAGATCTGGGGGTTTGGATGGGAGGCTCCCACATGTGGTTTTTATTTAAAATGGCCCCTACTTTCAGCACTGAGGATGTGGTTCAGTGGTAGAACACTTGCTGAGCAAGCACGATCACCAAACACCGCAGCACTGACGGCGCTCAGGAGGCAGGAGCAGGAGACTCGGTCTCAGGCCAGTCTGAGCTACACAGGGTGTCTTTCAGACAAACAATAAAACAGAGAGGGTCAGCACCAAGCAGGGGCAGTCCCTAGGCTACATCTTGGGTCACCTGATAATTTATTTTCCCTTTTCTCTTTGGTGCTGGGAACAGAACTTACTTGGGGCCTTGAAGCCAAGCCCGCACCCTAAATTAAGTAGGTCCCCAGTACTCTGGCACCTGATGCAGTAACTGACCTGACTTAGACATGTTATTATAGATGGTATATTAAAAATTTTGGAGTAAGAAAATTCTGGGGAAAAAAGGAGGGGGGTATCTTTCCTTCTTTTCCTGGCAATGCTATTTAGTCTGTGTGGGCTGGGGGAGGGGGACAAAACTTTTCCTGGGCCTCAGTACCCTGGAGGCCCTTCCCCTCATTTCTAAAGACCACTTGTCACACCTGGCTGGGCAGGTAGGGGAGATGGAACTCTAAGACTCAGTCTCAAAAACTGGAAGCACCCTCCTTCCTGAGGTAATAGAACGTTCTGGAACCACAAGTCCACCCTCTGGTTCAGGCATCCACTCCTTCGGACTCGTGGGCAAGCCCAGCTAAAGTCACTGTGGGCGGAGGCGGTGCTGGGCCCTGGAGAGTGGCTTAGCTTTGCCTGGACTCCACATGCTCCTCATCCTCCAGCTGGAGGCCACAGGCCTGCAGCCTGGAGTCAGTCTTCAGGCCCAGCTGCTGCACACTCCGCTGGTGCTCACGGGGAAGCCTCCCTGGCCTTCTTGGCCTTTTTCTTCTTTTTCTTCTTTTTGGTCCCAAGTGATGCTGGGTCCCCATTGATGCTGCCTGCCTCCTTTACCTGGTTCAGGCCCGTGGCTCTGGCTAAGTCAATGTCAGCCTTCTTCTTGGCTTTCTTTTTCAATTTCTTCTTGTCCGCCTCCTCCTCCACCTCGGCAGGACAGTGTATGGCCGACTCCTGGAGAATGTCTGAAGCAGACACAGCCGCCTCCTGGCACCGCTGCCACTCCTCGTCACTGTCGTCACTGCTGCTGGGGAGAGCAGCTGGATTAGCAGGCGATGGGACGGGACTCACAGCTACCTTGTCGCCTCCAGACCAGGTGGAGGCAGCCAAGGAGCTGGGGCTCAGCTGAGGCAGACTCAGGTTCCAAGGTCAGCTTGTCAGCACCGTGACTTTAACTCTCTCACCTCAGTACTCCCATCTACAACAAGGACCTTGACACCACCCAAAACAGGAGGCAAGAATGATACAGGGAGGAATCTGGCCCAAGATTCTCACTCACAACGTGTGGAGACCCTTAGCTCTCCCTAGAACACCCTGTGCACTTCCTGCTGGGGCACACTGCCCTATTATCTGATAGGCTTCTTCCTTTGATCTGGACCTGACTTAGCTACTTCACAGGATCAGCCAGGAAAGGAGAGAGAGGAGAGGCTGTGGGCTCTCACCTGGAGCTGGGGGGCTGGCGTTTTCGGCAGGGTTTTGGAGAAGCTTCCTTCTTGTGGCCTCCAGGGATAGATGTGAAGAAAAGGCGGAAGCCTAAGAATCATGGGGTAGAGTCAGCAATCGGAGAGGCAGGCACCGACCCATCGAGGTGCTGAGGCTACAGTCTGTCCTCAGGCACTCCTGCCATGTACGTGTAAACTGGGGCTTGTCCGAGGAAGGGCTTGCTTGCTCTCCTGTGGAGCCAGAGAATAGGGGGCTTGAGGGGCACCCACCCACTGGCTGCCAATCCAGACAGCAAGCTTCAGAAGCTTCTGGTGGACTTTGAGACAGCGTCACTCTATATAGCTCTGGCTGTCCTGCAGCTTGCTACGTAGACCAGGCTGGCCTCAAACTCACAGAGGTCCACCTGCCTCTGCTTCAAGTGCAGGGATTAAAAGTGTGTGCCACACCTGGCCTTCAGAAGCTTCCAGAAGTCAGGAGTTGAGACTCTCACCTGTGGCAGCCTCCAAAGAGGCTCAAATATATGACGGGATCAGACAGAGTAGGCGGGAAAGACTGTGGAATGAGAAGGCAAAATGCTTCTGCAGGTACCAGGGCAAGTGAAGGTTCTTGGAGCTAGCTCACTCTGAGAATGGGCACCATAATGCCTGCCTTAGAGTATGGGGAGAACAGATGTAAGAAGAAACCGGCCCCCTGACTGCTAGCTCCACGGTGTTCCGTGCACAGGGTGGACCTCCCCTAGGGCAGTGCCCACCAGCACCTTAAGGACTCACCGTCCTCCGCCTCTGCCACGGGCTGCACCTCTGCTTTGCATGGCTTCTTCCACACTTCCGAGACGGCGATGGAGCTAAGGGAGAGGAGGTGCAAGACTTAGGATGACATTTTGGGTAGCAACAAAAGCACCTTTTGATTTTAAATCTAAAAACTTTTTTTTTTTTTTTTTTTTTTTTTTCCTGGGTTTGGGGCACAAGACTGTAATCCCAGAATTTGGGAGGGTGAGGTGAGGGGATCACGAGCTAAAGCGTGCTCCTGCTCACCTGTCCAGCATGGCTCCCAGCTTCTTGGCCACGAAGGCTCGGAACTCAGGTGTGGTCTGAAGCTCATTGCCATCTTCGTCATGCTTGTTCACCTCACGCCTGTAACACACGGAAGCCATCACTTCCTGACAGCTCAGAAGCTGCCCCCACAGGAGAGGGACCAATATTTGTTCAGTGACACAGAAGCTTCTATGCGAAGCTCAGTACCTGTGGCTTGGCTGGGATGCTGGCACCTGTTTACCTGCAGCATCTGTGAAGCGAGAGAACGAGGTGTTCAGTTTACAGAGTGGACGATAGTGGCGTGGGCTAGGTACATTTTAGATGATTTACATGTATGACTCAAGGATGTCCCTGGCCCCACCCATTTCCATTTGGGGTCAGAGACATGTAAAATAATATAGCTAGAGTCTAAAAACTAATTCCTTTTTTGAAACCAGATTTTGTTACATAGCCCAGGTTAGCCTTGAGTTCATGCATGACTAAGAGCTGATGTAGTGGGGTTAGAAAGAGGGTACAGGTCATTTGGTTCTGGAGGCCTGTTAATGTTTAACAAGCAAACCTAGTGTGATATGATTATGGTTTATTGAATGTCTATTATATGGGGCTGTAGGCTGTGGAAGAAACTGGCTTCTGCGCCGATCCCTGAGGATGCTGATGGTGGGCAAAGTGATGAATGGCTGAACGGCTGTTGATAACCAGGTGCCCCACCCGCCTTACAACTCAGATAAGTGGTGGTGTCCTGAGAGGTCTTACATTCCTGGTGACAACAGATGCTAATGACAGTAACACAGTATCAACTTGGACAACAGCAGCAGTGTATAAAAAGCACAAAAGACAGGAGAGGCGAAAACAGTGTGGGGGTGGGGGAGACTTTTCCTCCACAGGTGGTAAAGGCGGGCTTTGTGAGGTAACCGATGGACAGAGATCTGAGAGAGGTGAATACCTGGAGTCTTCCAGGCAGGGGAAGCAAGCCTGCAGAGGCAGGAACCTGGGGTGCTGAAAGCCACCCAGAGGCTGCTGTGCCAGGAGAGGAGCAGAGATAGATTGTGGGGCTACATTACCCAGGCCTCCCTGGAAGGCAGTGTGAGGACTGCAGTTCTGAGAAAGACGAGCCAGTGGAAGAGTCAAAGCCTCCAGTGAATATAAACTGGCTTAGGTTTTTATAGCGTATCTCAGCAGGATGAGACCAAAGAGCCAAAGGGCTGACTGGGGATCTGTTCATATCACTGAGGACTCTGAATACAGAAAGTGTAATGATGGAGTCTACATGGCGGGGTGGGCTCGCTGTGTGGGAGAGATGCTGAAAGATACCCTGAGAGTCTGATGTGGACATGGGACAAAGTGGTTCTGGGTCAAATGAATAGAATGGTCACTTGATGGCTCCCAGAACAATGCAGAGCGTGGGGCACCACTGTGTCTATGGAGCATTAGCTCCAGGGTCACCATTGTATCTATGTCACTATGTGTTCACAGTGTGCCTGCCTGATACACTTGTTCTACATCAGTGCACTCTCAAAAGCCAGATGCCCCTGGATGTGGTTGTGAGAGGAATGGACACCTGTCTTCTATAACATGAAGTCACGAGAGCAGCTCCCATTATGAGCAATGGCAAAGTCCTCCCAGGACACAGAAAAAGGCTCAAACTCCAGAGCCAGGGTGAGCCATTTAACTCCCCAAGTTTTTGGTTTTTACATCTATAAACTGAGGAAATTACCTCCCAGCAAAGGTAAGTCATTCACCAGGTACTTGCCACCAAGCCTGACAACTTGAGTTTGAGCCCCCAGATCATGGTAAAAGGAGAGAAAGGATTTCTGATCTCCACATGTGTACTGTGGCACCTGTGTGCATGTGCACGTGAGTACACGCATACAAAATAAAACATAATACAAAATTTAAAGAACACTTTTTGTTTGTTTGTTTTTTGAGACAGGTCTTCTCTGTGTATCTTTGGCGCTTGTCCTGGAACTCACTCTATAGGCCAGGCCGGCCTCGAACTCACAGACATCCACCTGCCTCTGCCTCCCGAGTGCTGGGATTAAAGGTGTGCACCACCACTGTCCAGCTAAAGATCACTCACTTTTTAAAGGCTATGGAAGCAAACGCCTTTAGCCCCAGAATTCGGGAGGCAGGCGCAGACATCTCTGAGTTAAGGCCAGTCTGGTCTACATAGTGAATTCCAGGACAGACAGGCCACTAGAGAGAGACCCTGTCTCAAAACAAAACAAACAAACTAAACCAAATACCTTTCACAGTTGGTGTCATACGCTGTTTTCATGGCCACCCCCTTCCTAGACTTGAAATGTTTACTGCTGTCGTTTTGTGCTTAGGAACCGACTCACTTGTGGGAGTCTCTCCTTCTACGATGGGTACTGGGGATCCATACAAGTTACAGGCTTGTGTGGCAACTGCCATCAACTGATCTAGAAATCGGTCTAAAGATTGCAGGAATGTTAAAGTAGAGAAGAGTGTAAATGATTTCTTTCCAACATTATATTGTGAATAAGTTACTTCAGTGTATCTATAAAAGATTGTAACGGGAGAGCTATAACAATATGGTGGCTTCTACTGCAACGAAGTAGCAGGTATTGTCAAACGACTGTGGCTTGTTGCTCACACGGATGAGAGAAAAAAAAGATGTTAAATTTCATTTGGTATATAATGAATGTAATGATGCAGTATCTTTTCAAATCATGGGACCTGTTGGATTCTCTAACCATGACTAAGAATCCCTATACTGGCAGATTTCGGATTCATTTCCAGTTTGCTAGGGATTCACGATTAGACAGTCGTGGTGATCTAGAATGGGGCAGCATGCGAGGGCCGGGAAAGGCAGGATTCTGAGAATACAGGACGGGGATGCATCTCAATCATGGTTACCTTCCCAGAGAATGTCAATAAGGACACATTCAGGAAAGTGCAGTCAGGTGACATTTAGGTCCCTCAGCTGCCTCCGCGTGAATCTGATCCCCAATTGGTCTCAGGAGCTTCAGAAAGACGCCGCGACTCCTACCCACCATCCATCCTTTCCAGGGCCCAGGGTAAGAACCCCGCTCTTCGGAGAGCCCCCTACCGGTTCTAGGTTTTTCTGCCCACTGCGGGCGCTGCTCCAGCCCCCAGGCGGGCATCGCCGCCTCGCGGCAACGCTCCAGCTCCTCTGCATCGCTGTTGCTACTGCTGCAGCTCTCAGAATCGCTCATGGCACCACCGGGCGCCACCATCTTGAGATGCTGCAAAGGATTGTGGGGAAAGCGTCCGGTTTTGATTTCCCTTCCACATGACCCACGTGAAGAACAAGTGATGCTCAGAGCATCATGGGAATTGTAGTTCACAGAACACCATTGGCTGTGCATGGTCCTGATAGATGAGCTCTAGAATGGTCTTCCAACCCCCTTTTCCTTTTTTTCTTTTCTCTTTTCTTTTCCTTAGCCTTTATTTTCTTTTATTCCCTTCCATTTACCACCCCCTCTATATTTCTTGAATTCTTGGTTTTTTTTTTTTTTTTGTGTTTTTTTTTTTTTTTTTTTTTTTTTTTATACAGGGGCTGGCCTGGAATTTTCAACCCTTTTGGTTCATCCTTCTGTGGTCTGGCGTTACACGCACCCCTATGCCTGGCTTCCAGTTTTAACTGGATGGAGGAAAATGAGCGATATACATAGGGAACAATAATATTCTGAAGTCAGCCTGGCGGTGGTGGCTCACACCTTTAATCCCAACACTCAGGCAGAGGCAGAGGCAGGAGGATCTCTGTGAGTTTGAGGCCAGCCTGGTCTATAAGAGCTAGTCCCAGGACAGATATATATATATATATACATATACATATACATATACATATACATATACATATACATATATATATATATATATATATATATATATATCCTGGAGTCAAACAAGGAGGTGATGACAGAAGCAACATAGCAAGATTAGTTCTTTTTAAGGAAAAAAATGAATTTATTTACAATTTGATGAGATCAGGAAGGCAGCTGACCACCTTTTAAAGTTCATATTTGACCTTAGGAAGATTGTTAACTATAGGTTTTCAGGGTCTTACAAATGGGGTCAGAATGACTCTTGGAATAGCTGAGGCCTTGCCAGTTCCAGCATAGTCTATAGTCCATAAGATAGCTGCAGACTTGCCCTTGAGAGCTTGTTTGCCCTTTGAACTCCCTCTGTGACCTGCACATCAAGTGAGTCTCTAGGTGGGTGGGGAATATTGCCATGTGCCCACCCCCCAGCATCTTAATTGTGGGGAACTGAACGTGGAGGGTCATGAAAAATTTGGCAACAGTAAAGGTTTCTGACTGTGCATTTCAAAATCAAGCGTGTGATGAACCTGTGATGTTTCTGGCGCTTGCGTCACTTAAGTGCAGCGTTGACCCCGGGATTTGCACACTGGACTGGATGTGTCTTCACACCACAGAACGCCAACGGAGGCTGGAACTCCTTGGCTTTGCTTGCCGGCCACGAACTGCGGAGTTCTTGCTGTCCATAGTTTTCTGCTCTTAGGAAGCACAGCCGTTCAGTTGCAGCAAACAAAGAATGTTTTCTCTTGTCCTGTCCTTCCTTAGCACATACCAAGTTAGTACATCTCTGAATTGTTTTCTAGTAGAATACTTGTTGTAAAAGTTGCTAACTTGAGTTTCATTAGAAAAAAAAAACGGTTGACTTTTGTGCAACGTTTTTTGGCAGCGTTTCCAACAACTTCCGAAACGGCCTTAAACGTGTGCCCGCTGTTTTGTAGTGTATTTCTGAGAAGAGGCATTCTCAACATTGATGGTTATAGAACCAAAGTGTTGAACCGCTCTGACGAACACTGAAGAAGTTCTGTGCCCTGCTGTTGGCTGTTTGACTCTTTTTACTCTTTTGGCTTTGGGGATGGGGGCTGCCACCCAGCTCCCAAATAAATCCACACCCAGAGGTTTATTCTTTCTTGAAAAGGGTGTTTTCCTTTTCTTATTTCTGTAATCTTCCTTTCACTCTTACTCCGTGGCTGGCTGGGTAGTTGGGGGGTTGAGGGGCTGGGTAGTTGGGGGGCTGGATGGATGGCTGGGGGTTGGGGACTGAGAAGCTGGGGAACTGGGTGGCTGAGGATCTGGGGGGTTGGGGGGGCTGGGGAACTGGGGGGTTGGAGGGCTGGGGAGTTGAATGGCTGGCCCCCAGTGTCCTCCTCTCCTTATTCTCTTGCTCCCCCCTCCTCTCTTGTTTCCTTCTTCCATTTATTCTGCCTGCCAGCCCCGCCTATCCTCCTGCTTTGCTATTGGCAGTTCAGCTCCTTATTAGACCATCTGGTGGTTTAGACAGGCACAGTAACACAGCTTGGCAGAATTAAACAAATGCAACAAAAGGAATGTAACATTTCTTTGCAGCATTAAACAAATGTTAAATTGCATAAGCAAATGTAAGACATCTTAAAATAATATTCTATAACAGTGTCCCACAGTATCAAATATTTAAAGCAAGATTTATGTAAAAGTGAACAAACATATTCATCTCATTACCATGCAAAATTGTGATTTTTTCGTGTGTGTATTTATGCATGTTTATGTGTATGTAGATGCATGTGCACATAGGTGGCATGAGTATGGAGGTCAGAGGTCAACCTTGAATATTTGTCCTTAGGTGCTGTCTCCCATGTCTTTATTAAGTCAAGGTCACTCACTGGCCTTAAGTTCATTGAGTAAGCTGGACTGGCTGGCCAAGGATTTGCCTGGCTCCTTCCCCGGAGTGGGATTACAAGTGTGCATCACCATGCCTGGCTTTTATTGTGTAGGTTTAGGGCATGGATCTCAGATCACTGCAAAGCTAATCACTTTACTGGGTGAGCAATATCCTCACCCCTCTGCCCTTTTGAGATGGCTGTACACAATGCTGGCTAGCCTGGAAGCTAAGTAGACCAGGCTGGCCTTGAACTTACATTGCCCCTCCTGTTTCTGCTTCCATCATTGGAAGCATATGCTTGTGATTACACCTGCTTGCTTCAGTCTTTAATCAATGGCAAAGCCATATGCAAGTCAAATAGCTTTTTATTTATTTATTTTGGTTTTTTTGAGACAGGGTTTCTCTGTTGCCTTGGAGTCTGTGCTGGAACTCACTCTGTAGACCAGACTGACCTTGAACTTGAAGAGTCCAGGCATAAGAAAATAAAAATGTAAAAATAAAGAAATATAAAGTTATAAGTCTAGGAGAATGAGAGCAGACTGTCAGCAGCTTTCTCAGCAGATCAAGGATCATTCATTCACAATGAGTTATTTTCTCAGATGCTTGGGAAGCATAGGTCATTTTACAACTGGCTGTTTTATTTACAAGGCCAGAGTGTCTCTCTACAAATTAAGAGCAGTGTCCTGACCATCCTTGATAAATGGCAGATGTAAACTGAGTTAACCTTTAGGAGACAGAGATATGTGACCTCTGGGTTAGACATTGTCTCTGTTATGGGAAACTGGCGCCACCAGAGGAGAGGTATAAGACTCCGGTTTACACCCGGAGGTACCAGGAGACAGTGGATAAATACAAAGGTTTAATTAATGAGCTCTGATAATGGAGGTTGTAAAGTATGGCAGTCAGTATCTGAAGATTTACCTGGAAACAGTGTGAAAGGCTTTTCTTCTAAGTTCTCAGCCCAAGAACCAGTTAATCCTAATTTATTAACCTTCTAG